CCCAAAAACCAAACTTTCAATGGCTCCTTGCATCGACACTTGCAGAACCGGAAAAACCCATCTTTCTCAAAACCATGATTCTCATTTCCATTACACAAACTTCTTCCGACCAATCCACACAGGCTCTCTGGTTCAATACAACGATGTCTGGATTAAGATGCGTGAAGAAGCTAAATCCGATGTTGAACAAGAACCAATCTTGTCAAGCTACTATTACGCTTCAATCACATCTCATCGGTCATTAGATGCAGCTTTAGCAAACATTCTCTCTATAAAGCTAAGTACTTTAACTCTACAAAGCAACACACTTTACGAATTGTTCATCAACGTTTTACAAGAAAATCCAGAGATCATCGAATCTGTAAAACAAGATCTATTAGCAGTTAAAGAAAGAGATCCAGCTTGTGTAAGTTACGTTCATTGTTTCTTAAGCTTTAAAGGCTTCCTCGCTTGTCAAGCTCATCGAATCGCTCACAAGCTATGGATCCAAGACAGAAAAATCTTAGCTTTATTGATACAAAACAGAGTATCGGAATCATTCTCCGTCGATATTCATCCCGGAGCTAAGATCGGGAAAGGGGTTTTGTTAGATCATGCGACGGGAGTTGTGATCGGAGAAACTGCGGTGGTTGGTGATAATGTTTCGATTCTTCACGGAGTTACGCTTGGAGGAACGGGAAAACAGAGTGGTGATCGGCATCCGAAGATCGGTGACGGAGTTTTGATCGGAGCTGGGACTTGTATATTGGGGAATATTATGATCGGTGAAGGAGCTAAGATTGGATCGGGTTCGGTGGTGCTTAAGGATGTACCGCCGCGTACGACGGCGGTTGGAAATCCGGCGAGATTGATTGGTGGGAAAGAGAATCCGAAAATGCTTGATAAGATTCCCGGTTTGACTATGGACCAAACATCGAATTTAACCGAGTGGTCTGATTATGTTATTTAAATCAAAAGTGTATCATTTTATTTCTTGTACCTAAAATCAAGTCATGATGTCTATAAACCGGGTAAGGTACCAACTACCAAATCAATACTAAACCAGTCTGGTATAGCTCAAACGCCGTATAAGGGCATTAATGTCATTTTATACAATCTCTATGTCACTTGAACGACGAAACAAAGTCGACGGAGGAAAAAAAACACCACCTTTCTCTCTGCAACAACAACAACGACGAAGAAATCGTAATTCTCATTTTGGGTTATCAAATTACAATCTCTCAGTACTAGAGAATTCAAAAAAATAGAGAATTTGGTACACTCGCCGGAAAAAAATTGGTGGTTTTGCGAGGTTTATATTCTGGGGGTTTCGTTTATCGTATACATATGGAACTTGATTTATCTATTGTGGGTCGATCTGTAATCGCCACGAGGAGGGTTTCGAGTTTCACGCGACTAAGTCAAAGTTCGAATTTTTCAGTAAGAGTTATTCAGAGAAACTCGCTCTGTGTCTCGTCTAGTCCCTCCTCTCTGAGTTGTATCCGGAAAAGAAGTGAAACTAGTCACAGAAGTCGGTTTGTAGTGTTGAGCGCGAGTCAAGAACATTCCGATTCCGGTGAAGAACTCGATTCCATTAAGATTTTGTTGAAACGAGGAATTGTTTTAGGGGCAGTGGTGGTTGGAGTTATGTTATATGGATGCAGGGAAGTGTTAGCATCGACAAATGTGGTTGATGTTGCTTTAAGTAAGAGCGTTTTGTTGTTGAAGAATGCTTGGCCAAAAACTTGTCAGGTTCTTAAGGTTTTTAGAGAGCAAGGTCTAATCTTAGCGGCGCTTCTCGGTCTATCAGCGTTCTTCTCCATGGCAGAGACTTCCATTACCACTCTTTGGCCATGGAAGGTAATAAAAGCATTGTGTTGCCTCTGAGCTTTATATACAAGTTTATGGTCTTGATTCTTGATTGGTTATGAAATGTGGTTGTGTTGCTTATGTAATTTGTCTCTCAGGTGCGTGAGTTGGCTGAAAAAGAGCCTGAAAATGGCGTTTTCAGAATGCTCCGTAGTGATGTTACCAGATTCTTGACAACCATACTAATCGGAACAACGTAATGCTTTTTTTCTTTATCAGTTGTTATTTGGATGTTTTGCTTGATTGTTTTGTCTCGTAACTTTGGTCTTTCGATTGTTCTTAGTGTTGTGAATATTGTGGCAACTGCCTTGGTCACGGAAGCGGCAACAGCTATTTTTGGTGAAGCTGGTGTTAGTGCAGCCACTGGATTGATGACGGTACATATAAATTTTTCTTATTACTCCTGACTGAGATAGTCAATATATGTTTTTGATTCTTGAATGATTATAGGTAGCCATATTACTCCTGACCGAGATAACTCCAAAAAGCGTAGCGGTTCACAATGCTCAAGAGGTTGCAAGGATTGTGGTAAGTCTTTGACAGATAGAGTATGCTTATATGATACAAGAAATTCTTTGATTTATGTTGTCTTACTACGCATCTAGGTCAGACCAGTGGCGTGGCTTTCCTTGATATTATATCCTGTCGGGAGAGTTGTGACATATCTTTCGATGGGAATTCTAAAAATTCTTGGTTTGAAAGGACGGAGGTATGCATCAGATTGCTTGTTTTTCCAAATCAAAATATATCTGTATACTTCTTTCCTTGTTGTGTGTGTGT